TACAAAAAAGTATTTATTTGAAAAAGTATTTTGAAAATACCTATTTTACATTTAGCATTTAAAATACAAAAGAGAAATCTATTTTGTATTTTACATTTGAAATAACAAATCGAAAAAGTATTTGCATTTTGTATTTAAATCCTTTTGAAAAAACATTTTACACATCTCTAGTTAATTCATTGAGCGTATAAAAAATTGGAAAATTTTGACTGTTGTTACTATAACTGATATATTGAAGCCATTAAGAATAACCATAATTCCGGTGCCTAGACTGTTTTGGAAATAGTTTTCAAACATCCCGCAGGATTATTATGGTAAATAAAAACAAATTAAATTTGGATTGTGTTTCTATCTGTATAAGCTGCGTCGTTAATGCCCGTTGAATAAGTAAATACCTTACTAAGGCTCTTGTCTAGTATCTGAAATACTTGAGTTAGCAGCAAATAACAGCAGATGGCGATATACTGCTATAAGTAGATATTACATAAGCATGGTTTATGGATAGAGCGGGGAATAGAGAATTAATCGTGATCGCTGCGATATACAGGGTATTTCTGGGTAATTATCCAGAATTAGGGCTACAGACCAAAATCGCTCCAAAAATTTTTTCATCGATTTCCGGTCATTCTACGTAATAGAATTAGATACTAGAAAGTGGGGGAGACAGTTGTTTATGACTTAAAATTTTTTTCGAATGATAATTTTTCAAAATTTAAATCACAGTAGGTATGGGAAGAGATGAGTGAGGAGATTAGGGGCGGAAAGGGGGGGATATACAAATTTTAATCTCCTTATCTCACGATCATCACTGCATCAAATTCTTTTATCAATATTAAAAGAAGAAATAGCTATACATGATGTATGCAGTAATAAAAAAAAAATGTGTACCCCGTCAACAAGAAAATTGAGTAAGCGTTTAGTGGCCCGAAAGTCCACCGGTTTCAAGAAAAACGTATTTGAAATTACAGACAGGGTCCAGCCCGGTCCTGGAAGACCACGGAAGAAAATACAGCATTACAACGCCGTATTCCATCAGCTGCAGCATTCGTATGGTACGAGTATTTCTTTTGCATTTTGTGTTCTTAATACCACGGCGAAATGTACTTTAAATAGTACTTCATACTATCAGCGATGAACAAGGTAGTTATTTAATTAATTATTATCGCATTGGGCATCTAAAGATTATTATGCGTATTGATATTTACTTTATTAATCTTTTTACAATCGTCACTGTTCACATTTTTCATCGATGGAGTTGCATAGTTGTTATCGCATTTTCTCACTCAAAACATCGTCAATTCACGCCCAGGGCCGGCTTCGCATTGCAATTTCGTCTGTTTTCCTTACAATTTTTTTATCCCTTAACCACGCTGCTTTACTCACTATGTGATTCCCTATTGCATCTAATTAACGTTCTCTAAAGCTAGCTTCTTATTTCAAAAATACGCTGTATAGTTATATGACAATATTGCAAAAACATTTTGATAAGAACTATGTTATATAAATTTAAAAATTAACCGGAGGAACGCATGTAACATGTAATTTATAATTACTTTAGAATATTCATTTTATAAACAACATTAAAATACTAAAGTGTGCACTTATGTAAACCTACATTCTCATGTAGGATTGAAGAAAGATGCAATGATACTAAACAGAGATAGAGGGGGCAACTAGCGCCGTGACAGCTTTTTGTTTTGACCTACATCGCATTTTCCCGATTTGGAATTGGAATAGTCCCGACCTAGGCCACTACTGACCCACCTGCACCAGCGCAGTCTATGCGGCATATTAGTGCCATTCTCCCCTCCCATTTCCCCTTTAAACTTCCGAATAATTTACAAACGTTCTTGCCAGAGACCAAGAGAAACCAATTACCAATTTATCCATTTATCGCAAATCGTTATGTAGGCGTTGAAGTTTTGAATTACATAATAATTTGTCGCTACAATGTCAAATCGAATAAGAAAGACAGACGAACTTCTCCAATGTTCCAATGGCAGCATGTACTTAACTGACTGACGTACCTTTGTTTATACAGTTTGTCACATAGCAACGTCTACCTTGAGCCTAATAAATAATAAGGCTGCAATTATCAATTATGTAATTAATTATAAATGATTCAGATATCAGATAGATATTACTTCGGGGCACCTTATGTACATAAAGAAACTTGACAGTTGATCTTAAGGAATATTTAGGCATAGTACATGATTTGAAATAGCAATAAAAAACCAATTTTGATATAATTTCTTTAAAATGTAATTGTTTCAAAAGCAATAAGTTTTAAACAACGTAAATTACTATTTTTTACTAATATTACAAAGAAGTAAAGTTTGTAAATTTGGATGTACAGGTTAATCTTCGAAACTACTCCACAGATTTTAAAAATTCTTGCGCCAATATTTAGAATAAATATTCAGGATGAACATAGGCTATATATTATTCCTTTAAAATAGAAGGGTTTTTCGTGGAGACTGATTTTGCAACGACGAAAAACGGTTGAGAAAATGTCAAGCGGGCGAAGCCACGAGCACAGCTGGTCAAATATATTTTTCGAACTATGAACTAAAAGTATGGGTTAAGTGAACCTAAAATGTAAAATATTTTTATCACGAATTGCTATGTCACGACGAAAAGTTCAACAGTTCAATTCCCTGAAAGAGATTAAAACTGTTACGTAGTTATGTTTCGAAATTAGTAAATAATAATAATAATAGAAGTTTGTGGAAACAATTTCTGATCTTTTTAATCTATAATAAAGGTATAAAAATTTCGATTTTTTATTGCTATGCGCTTTTTTTACTAGTTTAGTCCTTCGCTCGTTTTCGACCAATTCATCATTAACAACAAATCAATAGATTTCATTTTTAAAACATCATAAGCATAATTAAATAATTTACAATACGAACTTCTACATCTTCAATTTTTTTCTAACGCAAATATTTTTTTGTTCCTTTGACATACGCATTTTTCAACAATTTTTCCATTTCTCTATCTCGAAATTCGATTACATTAAAAAAATAACCAGTGGTTCAAGTTATAAAATTCAATGCAACACTATTATATTATGAAAAGTATTAAATATTAGCATAGGTTAGGTTAAGTTAGGTTAAGATCATAAGGTTACGGTAGGAAAAGACAACACATACGTAATACTATATTGTCTGACATGGTGACGTTACATTGTAAGGGCTATTAATAGATAAGAGGTCTTCGAGATAAAAATTGAAAAGTTTGAAGGTAAAACAGAAATTTTCTTCAACTCGAATTTTTTATAGCTCGAACATTACTGGTTCACAAGGTCACTGATAGTTAAAACCCATTAAAATAATGAGATCACAGGTCAACTTATTTCAACTGTACGGTAATCTCTGCCAGTGTATACTTGAAAATGTTTTTCTTGTTTTTCGAAAAACTGTAAAAGTCATAAGTGAAAAATAAAAAAACTAATTTTTTTTTATCACCCCATAGCATTATTCCATTCTAGCCATTTAAACATACTTTACTGTTACTACTTATCTTCGCTTGTTTGAAAACCATTTGGCTTAAATTAATCTCATTTTCTTAATCCTTTTTGTCTCTTTAGTATTTTAGGCTGGTAAGTGTGAAGGTGCTTAAGGATGTTTGGGAGGTACAATTGGAGACAATAGTACATAAAATTAGAAATTCGTGATTAATTAGGTTTTGCAGCATATCATGAGGTAAATCAATATTATCTATACTAAAAAACAGTATAAGATTTGAGAGAATTTGGAATTTGACGAAAAACTGAATAAAATAAGAAATAATGAATAATATGGAAAATTTTTAACTGACTTTTGGCAGTGAATATGCCTTGATTTCAACTTCGAAACAAAAAAATATTTAGTTTCAATCTCTATTAATAATGAGCGTAAAACTTTTTAATATGTTTAAATAATAATTAAAACTTTAAAATTGCATTTATTTCAGACAATTATAAATATTATCATTATATTATCAAGTAAAAACGAGATTTTCAGCTAATTTTTCATTTTTTCCTCGATAACCATTTAGTGAATTTGAATAACCTTACGCTAAAGTGATTCTCCAGAGTTCAAGTTACTTATTATAAAAGTTTGAAATTTCTGGTAGCTTTTTTTCTGTTAATAAAAATAAATTTAATCTGTTCGGTTAACGAATCTCCATAAAATGACGTGTAAAATGACAATTTTTTAAAATTCCAATAACTTTTTAACGGTTTAGTGAATCGATTTGTAATTTTTGCAGGAGTTTTAGAATTGAATGGGGAACGTTCTTCCAAATTTTTATTTGTCTCGTAGCATTTTGACATACCTCCCAAACATCCTTAAATTGAATTGAAGGGATAAAAAAGGGTCCGTTTTCTCGTGATAAACTGTACCAAATGCGACAATATCCTGACGATCGATATGGGTTGAGAGCGCATCTGCAGGCATCCTTCTTCGTCCTTTCCCTACACCATGTACGTTATTACGAGCACGGCAGGAACAGGAGCGGGCAGTCCGACCCTCTTCGTCCTTCCATATGTCGAAAAGCTACCTGCTTTCCTGTTCGTCCATATGTTTCTTCTTTTTCTTCTTTTTTTTGCTGTTCTTCACACAGCCTTCTTGCTTTAGCTACTTATTACTTTACTTAAGTACTGGGTGCCTACCTCTTGAAAGAAACTCCTCACGCGGGCTCAAGTCGAGCAGCTCAACCGCTGCTACTATTCCTCCTCGCATTTTAGTCAGTCGTATGACGTCCTTTGTGGGTTAGCGTGCTGCTTGCTGCTAGTCTGTTCTGGTTTCATTAACTGAGAAAGTGTTCGAAGAACTTGATAATAAAAATTGTTCTAATTATTTTATTATAATATCACCAGCGCATGTGAGTGACTTTTTCAATGTACTCTCGGCTTTTCCGGTAAAAGTGTAACTTTGATGTTCGTGTGCAATAGTTAATTCGTTGGTTTGAAAAATGTGAGCGGATTTTTTTGATGTTCAAGCCGGCAATGTGGTGGAATTAATGGATTTTTGAAAAAAGGTGAGAGCATGACTATCATAAAATGTTACAATCGTTTTTATCTGTTATCCTTTAATATCAAAAAATGTGTTGAAGTTTAATATCAATTGACAGTACATAATCTTTATGACTTTAAAATGCTCTCAAGAATGTTATCAAGTTTTAATAATTATCTTTTAATAAAGTCCTTGCTTAAACAATGGGCCTCCCTTAAATTACATATTTCTACCTCTAAAGGTAACTTTTATTATAGTGGATACTTTTGATAACTATAATTCTTTTGGTAATTTTATACTTTCGCTGTCCCCTCGTTTTTTGGTTCTAGAAAATCGAAAAATCATCCGATTTCGATGAATTTTTTTTTAAAATCTTTGTTTTTACGGCGGATTTATGAAAAAAAAATATGGAAATAAAAAAAAATGAAAAGTTATATTCGTTTCATGGCTTTAAATGTTCCTGAAAATGCACTCATTTACGTATAATTGTTGATAACTTTTTTAATCTTTTTTTTTTCCAAAATGTTCGTTTTTTTATGTAGATCAACAAAAAAAAATATATGAACTGCGTTTGATGCTTTGTAAGAAAGTTATAAACGATTATATGCGAAGAAGTGCGTTTATGATCACATTCAAATTCATGAAATCTCCAGGTGAGGTATTTCCCATATTTTTTTTCATAAATCCGCCGTAAAAAGAAAGATTTAAAAAAAAATTCATCGATATCGGATGATTTTTCGATTTTCTAGAGCCAAAAAACGAGGGGGCCGCGAAAGTATAAAATTACCCGCACCTTAACGTTTCAATTTTATTTTGCCTTATAATCCATGAAAAAATACAAAAGTAAGTTTAATTTAATTTTTTTTCCCGGTAACTAATGCAGAATCCCAAAAATTAATCAATACCATTTAGTTCTACTTATAATACTATAAATTAAGACTTGGTAGGTACATACATATGCCTACTCGCAAACGTAAAAGTCTAAAAATATTTCGATTTTGCAAACCTCTCGACATCCGTTTGTGCCAAAATAATCTGGCAGCATGTTTATCTTTCTTATGAATTACACACCTGCTTTTCACGGAAATAGCTCTGCTACATTTTGTAAGATTGCTCTGAACTTTATCATAATACAATTTATTTTTGTCAACACAAATAAACATTAAACCGTAACTTTCTCTTTAAATTTAATAATGGTTATCATATTTTTCACTTAACCTTCGATGATATCACTTTGTACATAATTAATAATCGTATGTAGGTGAAGTATATATAAAAATGTAATTGAATTAAATTGTTCTCATACTCGATTTGGCCCCGTACTATATCTATTGCGTGAAACGCGGCTTGCAGTGTAATTTTTTGAGGTGCTCGGAGTTCCTCAAGGGTCAGCGTTAGGACCTTTACTATCGTGAATAGATTATTCGTCAGTCATCACATTTTTCAAAATTTTATACGTACATAAAATAATTAGCTTTAAATAAAATTGAAGCGGTATTGACAAAACAGTATTGGATGTAAATAAATAATAGTAAAGCAAAAGTGCTGGTATGCAAGGGAAGAAAAAGTGGGGAAAGAGCGAAAGTAAAGATAGAAGACGAAAGATTAGAAGAAGTGGTTGATTTTAGGTATCTAAGAAGTCAGACAAGTCAGGACGGAAGGAGTAGTAGAGATATAAAACAGAGGATAGCGCAGGGTTAAGTTGCCTTCAATAAAAAGAAGTCACTTCTATGTTCGCGAACGATTAATTTAGAAATTCGAAAGATTGTTAAAGGTGTGTTTGGAGCGTGACGCTGTACGGGTGCGAAATATGGACAGTAAATGCGGCGGAAAAGAAAAGGTTAGAAGCGTTGGAAATGTGGTGTTACCGGCGAATGATGAGGATATCGTGGATAGAGAAGGTTAGAAATGAAGAGGTATTAGGAAGAATAGGAGAACAGAGGACTCTATGGAAGTTCATGAAAAAGTAATTAGAACACCTTCTCAGGGATGAGTCAGAGACAGAGGCAGAAACAGTAGTTAAGAGGAGTAGAGGTAGACCTATATTAGATTACTGTTCGCATATAGTTAAGGATGCGGGATGATCTATTTTTAGGAGAAGATTAGCTCAGGATAGGAAGGAGTGGAGGTGCGTGTCCAACCAGTCTTAGGACTGACGACCTTATGATGATGATAATATAAAATATTTATAGTAGTGTATTAATTGACTTTATATTTTTCTTCTTTGACGGTAGCGTCCACAAAAGCGATAATTTATGTGTATCTACAATATACTTATGATAAATTTTCGCAATATTTTCCTATTGCACCTTTGCTGCTTTTGCAATAACTGAATTGAATTACTTGACATCAAAACCCCTGAAATGCATTACCCATCTATGAATTAGTCGAGTAAGACTACATGTTGAAGAAATTTGTTGCTAGCGCAATTTTTTGCTTGGATAAAACTTTTCATGACCTATAAAAATAACGTCGTATTGTTCTACGGTTAATTTTTTATTCGCAGTACCTACATGGGCATGTACTTTGAATAGAAGTTTTTGAAGCCAGCGCAGAATAAACGAAAGGATTGTGATATAGATACACAAACGTTTTGCTGTTTTATTTTCGGAATTAGAATCGATACTGTAATGTGTTTCTTCGATAATATGTACGCATTGTTCACGAGCATTTTTAGCAGATTTTTACATTTCTGCAAAAACAAAAGTAGAGAAGTTAAGTTTTTCAATGTTATTGTCAGATATGAATTGGCCCTATCTATTAATCGTTCATGTTGTCTAATATTATATACGCCAGACCTATCAGATATTTATCAAAAATTTCGTTGAAATCACGCAATCCAGTTTGATACTTTTTCTATCTTTATGGCTAACACAACAGCAACAACTGCAAATAAAAACTGTACGCAATATCACTGTTATTATTCTTTTATTTTAATGTATTGTTGACATATACATTTTGAAATAACAATGGTGTTAAAACCTGATAGTTCCTTATAATGTTTATTGCAAATTATGTAGCGTTAGTTGTGGGAACTTTTTGTTCAAATATAGCATGAAATCCTATTTTTTTTTATGAGTACGACTGATTGTGGTTTTTTTATGGTTTCGATTGAATGGTGTTCTTTCATTTGCGCTAATCTATAGCCACATAAACTTCAATTAACGACACAGTCATTGGTTCCGCCAGTCATCAAATCAAAGTTGTAAATTTCTTCGAAATAACTGAATCGACTGTGAATCACATTTCTAGATGGATATCAAAAACAATTTATTACAATTTTGTTGCTGATTTGCAAAAACACAAATGAAATTTTTAACAGATAATTAAGTGTTATCAATCTCTCACTAGGTTACAGGGGCAGGCTTCTGTTCCTAGTGGTTTACGAAATTAGAAACATTTGTCGTTTTTATTCATTTCCTAATTTGTACATAAGTACTTCGTTCGTATTGTCTCTTCCTACCGTAACCTTATCATCGTAATCTAACCGCTTCTTTTTGCTGTTTTTCATAATATAATATTGAAGCTGTAGCCTAACATTTTTTTTTCGTTAGTTCACTCAGCCAGGTCAACATTTATAACAAAAAAAAATTTCAAGTTGAGAACCACTGAAAATAAAAATTTGTAAAATCGATGTTTTTACAGTGTCATTTGCTTGCCGAAAGTTAGCCAAGGCTAGCCCAGTTTTTTCATTACCTATCACTGGTTCAAAGTTATTAACAACAACAAACCCTTGGCTCAAAACTTGTAAAAGAAATAGTTTTTTGTCTTAAAAGAATTAAGGAAATTGTGAAAATCTCTGCTTTAATTCTCTCATTCGATTTTCCAAAGTTATCCAACATTTATGAGTGGAAAGTTGTAAGGATTATCAGGTGTTTGTATTCTGAAGTATCAAAAGAAGTGGTAGTAGAACTTTTATATTAGAATAGAAACCTATTTATAGCGTCTACGTTTAAAAGAATGTATCAGAATGATTTAAAATAAAATTATTATTAAATTTTGGTTTTATGTAAGCGTAATAAAAATCGTACGCTAGTAATTTTAACAATTCTAATACAGTGAAACCAAGGTTACAAAAACATCGAATTTTTCAAATTTTCTATTTTCAGTGGTTTTCAACTTTTCAACTATAAATTTTGACCTAAGAGTGGGCTAACGAAAATGTTGGGCTATTCTGGACTCAACTTGAGCAAACGAACCATGCCAATTTAGTTGAAAAATTCGCATTTGGTGGTGCCCACTTCACAAAGCTTAATACTGAGTGTCACAGTGAAAAATTTCACTGATGATAGTTTCATGAAAAGACTTGAAACAGCTGCGGCTGATTCTTCCGAAGAAACTTAACATAATAGGCAACAATCCGGGATTAATAAACTTGGTGACCTACCCCTAGAAAGTGAGTTTGACCCATTTTTGGTATTCATGATATGGAAATATATTTATCAGGATTTGCTTATATTAGATTTATGGGGAAGAGGTTGAAGGCCAGATCCAATTTATTATTGCACGAGACAGGGTCGTGGCACCCCTATTCTATTTTGCATATGTACCTACTCGTATTCTTCTACAATATTATTTTAACGAGAGGTCTCATAAAATCGATTTTCATGTGTAGATACGTACAATGTACGAGGGCGGTTCAATAAGTACCCGTGTTTGAAGACAGAGGACGTTCCTGAGGGAAATTGGTGTTGTCATCCTGTGCTGCCAACTATCAAACCACGTCAAAACGAATTTCAGACTGATTGATAGGTTAGTTTTAGATTTAGCAGCCATTCCACTCAGACGTGCTTCGTTATTTTCGCTAAGATGGAAAAAGAGCAGTATCGTTCGGTAACTCGCTTTTTGTTTTTGGATGGGAAAAAATGCGAGGAGATGAAAACAAATTTGGATACTGTTTATGGAGACATTTCGCCATCTAAGACCACAGTTAGATATTGCTTCAACGAATTTAAACGTGGGCAAAGATCCGTTTTTGATAGGAGCGACCAGGAAGCCTGGCAAACGTTGTTACCAAGTAAATCA